CCCTGCACCCACCGGGAAACTTGGAAGAAGCCCTTGGTTCCTACCTTTAGATCCACTCAGTTCCAGCTACTGACGCCACATGGGGAGTGAACCAGCAAATGGTAGATACTTCTGTGTCTCTTTTTATCTGCCTTTCTAATAAAAATAAAAAGAAATTTTTTAAAAGTGCATGGAATAAAGTAGGTACTCAATGGGGGGCTTTAGAATAAGTCAAATAGGTCACTGTGACCTGGGGTTAGGTAGGAAAGCAAGCAAATCACAAGCAATGGACTAAAGGACAGGGCAAGAGCATGGAACTGGAGTTTACAGTGAAGATGAAAAGCAGTGTCAGCGGCAGATGCAAGAGAAAAATAACAGGAAAAGGAAGCCAGGGTCAGAGAAAACCTCTGAAATGCCATTTTCTCCTTGAAAGTATAATCATCGCATGGCACCTCCCGCCTATCTGGACTACACCCAGATTCTTATCAGGCCTACTTTATCTCAAGCTGAGTGTGTATGCTGTCTTCTGCTTCCATTTCCCTGCTATCAACTGTATTTTCTCAGTTGGCAAATTGAGTAAAAAATGCAGATGATGTCTAAATCCCAGGGATTAAAAACTGGAAGCTGGAAATTTAACATTTCAAACCTGGCACATACTCAAGATGTTCAGCAAAATAACTTGCATTTCAATGAGTGGTCATGAGAACGAGGAAATAAAGCTGGTGATAGCCGAGGCCTCAAGGACAGAACTCAAGAACATGAATTTGAACACTGCAGACTTCCCGGTCAAACAGCGAGGCAAAAATAAATTGGAGAAGCAGCAAGTAATTGACACACATGTTATATGTCCTAAATGAAGGCCACTGTGAATTTAAAAAAAAATATGAAATTAAAATAATTTTTAAAAATATTTCTTCATTTTTGTTGGAATGGAAGATTTACAGAGGAGAGAAAGATTTTCTGTCCATTGACTCATGCCCAAGTGGCCACAACAGCTGGAGCTGAGCTGATCCAAAGCCAGGAGCCAGGAGCTTCTTCTGGGCCTCCCACAAAGGTACAGGGTCCCAACGCTCTGGGACATCCTCTACTGCTTTCCCAGGCCACAGGCAGGGAGGCAGATGGAAAATAGAGCAGCCGGGACACAAATCAGCAGAGTTAGTCACTAGGCCCATCACACCGGGCCCTAAGTATGAAATTTTTAAATGAAGAATCATTGTGGGACCAGATGTATGAGGAAGAAGTTGCTACATTGCTAGGGTTCCCTGCATCCCATGTTAGAATGCTCATGTTTGAATCCTGGCTATGCTTCAGGTACAACTTCTGGTTAACGCAAACCCTGGGAGGCAAGAGGTGATGAGGAAGTGCCTGAGTCTCCACCAACCACAGAGTGCTCCCTTCCAAATAAATAAGTTTGTTTGTTGATGTTGTTGTTAAGATTTATTTATTGGAAAGACAATTACAGAAAAGGAGGGAGAGACGAAGATTTCTCATTCATCAGCTCATTCTCCAGACAACCCAACAGCTAGGCCAAAGACTAGATCCTGGAACTCCTTCAGGGTCTCCAACATGATGAAGGGGGACCCAAGTACACGTGGACTCTACTGCTGCTTATCCAGGCTGAGTAACAGGGAGCTGGATCAGAAGTGGAACAGCCAGGACTCAAGCCTGGGCCCATATAGGAAGGCAGCATTGCAGGCAGCAGCTTTACTCACTAAACCACAGTGCTGGGTCCCTCTAAAACAAGTTTTTAAAATCATCATATTCAATGAGTAATTGATACAGACTGAGAAGATGAATGAAGGATTTTGATATCACTTAGTCAGTCTAAGAACAGTTTTGTTGTCTGCAATGCCAGTGCCAGGTCTCGACGTGAGAGCAAGTTGGGACCATAGCTACTCCGGCTTCCTCCTAATATGGCTGAGAAGGCAGCAGAAGGTGGCCCAATGTTTGGACCAGGATGGAAGCTCTTGGCTTCAGAGCAGCCCAGCCTGGACCATTGTAACCATTGGGAAGTAAACCAGTAAATGGAAGATGTTCTCTCTCTTATTCTGCTTTCAAGTAAACAAAAGAGCAGAAGGATAATAAACTCAAATTTTAAAATGTATTTGACATAGAGATGACATGATCAATCAAAAGGCAGCATCTTTATTAACAGTACATGCCATTGATTCAAGCGTATTTTACATACATTATCTCATTTAACCTTCATAGTAACAGCATCAGGTTAGGCACTGTTACCAGCTTTACAGATGGAAAAACTGAGGCACAAAGTAAACCAACATGAGCTGTAGGAAGAGACTGAGCCTGTGAGGTGATCTGAGTGTTTGTCCTCCCTAATTTCACCTGCTGAAACCCTAATTCCAGGGAGCTGGTCCCTGGGTAGGCCTATGGGAGATAAGGGGGATCTGAGGGTGGAGCCTGCATGAATGGAATCAGAGATAAAGCCAGCCAGCCAGCCAGCCAGCCAGCCAGCCAGCCAGCCAGCCAGCCAGCGGGCCCCGCCCATTCTCAGCATTGCAAGGTTACAAGCAGAAAATAACCGTCCACAACCAGAACCTGACCACGCCGGCAGCCTCCAGAACACTCGAGAAATATATTTCTGTTGTTTATAAGCCACTAGTCTGTGGACTGACCCACTAAGAGGGCCAAGCTATGAGCCCCAGAATGTCAAGGAAATCACACAGAACTTCACTATTTAATAAATATTTAATCAACACAAGTACATTCTAGCCATGGTGCTGTTGTCAGGGATGGGAAGGGAGAGGAAAGGCAGATAATGAGAAAGACATTACATGAGCACTAAGCAAATAATTATAAGTATGATGAATCAGAAAAGAGAGTGATAAATTACAGTTAAGTAGGAGTGGGTGAGGGAAAAAAAAATTCCAGGGGAAGGAGCATGCATGTGCTTACATGCCTTGGGCAAGAGCCTGCAGTAGGGATAAAAAGAGGAACCTTAAAAACAAAACAACATGGCTGGAGTGCAGAGAGCTAGGCAGCTGGACAGGCTAGCAAGGCAGACAAGCTCAGATAACACAGCAGAGGATGTCTGGTGGGCAAAGGGAGACCACTAAAGGACTCGCAGCAAGGTGGCAACTTCAGCAGACTTCTAAAACATGACAGTGTCGGTGTGGCACATGGATCAGAATGAGACAAGAGCAGTTTCGGAGGATCTAGATGGTGATGAACACGAGACTTCAAAAGCAAGAGCTAAAGGCGGCTTAGACTAGGATGGATCCTGGGGGGGAAAGAACCATCATTCAGACAAGTAAGTCTAGGTCATTCTGATCCGTGGGGGAGCTAGGCAAAGTTTCTGGCTTGGAGCTCTGCCTTCAGACCAGAGATGGTCTCCCCAAGAAACTGTTGAATTTACCTGGACAATAAAATGCTAGACTCTATGCTTGGTATACTCTTGCAATGAAACACTGTTGACTGAATTTGAAATGTAATACAGCAACAAGGTAGAGGAATCCACCATGGGGGGAGGGTTTGGGGAGGGGTGGGGAGATTCCCAGAGCCTATGAAACTGTGTCACATAATGCAATGTAATTTATAAAACATACATATATTTTTTAAAAAAGAAAAAAGTTTCTGGCTTGGACCGAGCACAGGGACATAAGGCCCCTCACTGAGCTAGGGCTGTGGGAAAACGTTCTAAAAGGAAAACGATACAGTACAGGCAGCTCGCCATTCCTGTCCCTGACATGCAACTGTAGCAAAGGCAGCTGCAAACTAGTATCTGAATTCAAGAAGTCTCAGACCCGAGTTTGCACCGGAAGCCACTGGAAGAGGCTGAGACAGCCCAGCAAGAACTTGAGGGAAGACTCAAAAGGCGGCCCAGGGCTCAACTCAGCAGAGGCTGTGGGCGCCCGCGGGGTAAGGCAGTTGGAGTCGCTGAAAAAAGCATTTACAAATAAATTTTTGGAACTTGAGCTTGTTGTGCCGAGACAGGGCAGACAGGAAAGGCTGAACAACAACCAAAGTGTGTGTGAGGTGGGGGCGGGCACGCTAGCAACAGGAAGGACAGCTCTTTCACCGAAGTCCCCCCCGGGATGGTTTGAAGCAACACCGGGCTTGGAAGCGCACCGAGAGGAAGAGGACAGGCGGTGGTTGGCCTTGAGCGACCTAGGGGGGAGCAGTTCCAGCAGCCCGGCGGCCGCGGAAGTCACGGTGTCAGGTTGAACGTGGGGGTGGGTGCAAACCACTGCGGCAGAAGGCGGGCGAGAGGAGAAGGAGGCGCAGGATGCCGCCCCAAGAAAGGCGGGCGGGCAAGGCGGGTGGGGCCGCGCAGCCGACCTGGCCGCCCGAGGAGGGAGGCTTCCCGCCCGAGGCCGAGCGGTGAGCGAGCCTCGGAGAGGACGGCTCCCGCTCGCCGCCGCCGGCTCTCCCGGTCCACTGGCTCCGGGCGAGGCTGCGTGGGCAACTCTGCCTCGAGGCCGGCACGCCGGGGTCCCACGTCGCCCCTCGCGGCCTGCCCCGGGCGCCCACAGCCACGCGGCGGCCTTCGTCTACCCCTGCCCCCGACTCCGTCCCCGCCACGTTTCAAAGTTCCCGGGCTGGCGGCGCGCAGGGACTCACCGCGGCCGCCCTAGAGCCCGCCGCTCGGCGCCTCGGGGCGGCAGGCCTGCGGGGTCGGGGGCTTTCCAGCCCGTCACCGCCAACCCCTCGGGAATTCCCCCTACGCGGCCACACACAAAGCCCGCTTCCTCCTTCACATTTCCGCCGCGGGGTGGGGGGGCTTCATCGGGGGGCCCCTAACGCCACGCTGGGGTACGGCGGGTTCCTCACTAGGTCTCGGCCACACTCCCCTCCCCACGCCGCCCCGCCCCGTCCCGATTCGCCCGTCCTCTTCTACCCCCCCCCCCACCACACGCGGAGCAGCTACCTCCGCCTCGGCCGAAGCAGCCCGAAGGCCTTCGGCAAGTTCCGCCTGCGGCGCGGGGGCGGGGCCGCTCGAGCGACTCCGGGCCGCGCTCGGCTGTTTCCGTGCGCGGCCGCTGCGCACTCGGCACTGGGCGGCGCTGGCTGGCTCCCTGGCTGCGGCTCCTCAGTCGGCGGCGGCTGCTGCTGCCTGTGGCCCGGGCGGCTGGGAGAAGCGGAGTGTTGGTGAGTGACGCGGCGGAGGTGTAGTTTGACGCGGTGTGTTACGTGGGGGAGAGAATAAAACTCCAGCGAGATCCGGGCCGCGAACGAAAGCAGTGACGGAGGAGCTTGTACCACCGGTAAGAGGAGCAGGAGGAGGAGGCAGGAGCCCGAGAGAGAGCCGGGGGGACGGAGGGGGAAACGGGGAGGCGCCGGACACCCGCGCTCGGGGCCTTCCCCTCGCAGGAGGGGCCGCGGTAAAGATGGAGCCTCCGCCCGTAGCCCCACAACATCGCCGCCGCTCGCAGCGAACAAAGAATAATGGCGGCGGACTGGAGCCAGCGGCGGCCGGGGCGGCAGCGACTCTGCCTGCAGCCAGCGGCGGCGCTCATGGCGGGGGGCGGCCGGCGGGGTGGGAGCCGGGCGGCCGGGGGTGTGTGTGTGTGCGGGCGGGCGGCCGGGCGAGCTGGCGCCCGCGTTCCCGCCGCCGGGCCGGGCCGGGCGCGGAGCCGGGAGCCGGGAGCCGCCCCGGGGGAGGCCGTCGGCGCGCTGCCCCGCTGCTCGCTCGCTCGCCCGGCCCGGCTCGGCCGCGGGCCTCCCGCCGGCCCCTCGGCCCTGCCCGGCCTCGCCCCGACCCTGCCCGCCCGGGGTGCCCGCGCGGGGCCGGACGAGGAAGGAGCGGAGCAGGTGGACGAGCCTGCCGCCTCGCCGGCGGCCTCCGAGCCCGGCGTGCCCGCCTCGCCGGGGGCACAGCCGCAGCGTGGGACCCGCTCCCCTCGCCACGCTCTTTGTGCAATAAAGTTGGAACCCCAAGCTTGCTTCTCGTGCTGTATTTTTTTTTTTTCTCTTCGTGTCCTTTCCACCCCACCCCACCCCCGCTCCCACGCCGTTGAGGAAATGCTGTTTTCTGCCCTTTGCCGCTCAATTGAGCTGATGAGAGAGGTCGTGCTTTTTGAGGGAATTTTTTGACTTTTTCCCTTTTTTCTCCCCCTCTGCCCCCCCCCTTTTTTTTAAGCTAGTAGTCATGGAAATGCGTTCTTTTTTGGAAGGCACGGGGTGCTAAGAAAAACATTTGTAATAACTTTCTAAAAAAACTATTGGGATCTTGTAAAAGGGAAGCTGGTGTTTGAAACAGTTTCGGTTTTAACCCTTTTTAGTAAGGTCTGACACTCGAACACTTCGTTGAAACGAGGATTTTAGCCGACTTTTGTTTTACATCACTGGAGGGGGGGGGCAAACATTGTCAGCCGCGTGAGTCATCTGGTCTCTCCTCACCCCCTACCAGGTTTTCCATGTGTTTCTGTGAATTTAAAACAATATTCTAAAAATAGACGTTAAAAGTTAGCCGTCTCCCATGCCGTAGGAAGCCCCATTCTGGAATTTAAGTCACAAAGCTCCCCCCCTGCCCCCCGGTCTGTAGAGAAAAAGACAACAGAAAAATAAAAGAGAAATTGTAAAGGACGTGGAGTATGACCTACTTCGGGGTTGTCATTCCTCCTGAAGAGTTTCGTTGTAGCCTTGGCGCCCTTAGGTCGGCCTGCTAAAAGACTTCATGGTAAATCCTTTGATGTCTTGCACTTTTAACCATTTCCTGATTTAAAAGTAAAGAGCCTTTAACGGTCGTTTTTAGGTGCTGTGAAGAAAATGGACAGATATTTTGTTTTAAGAATAACTCACCTGTCACCGTGTGCTTGAGTTGTGATGGTGCACGCAAGCAAGGCTTCTGGTTTAGGAGTGAATCTTGACTGATGGAAGCCCTGTCCTCCCACTTTCCCGTGTCCAAGTCACTTTTGCAAACCTACTGAGCTGTGTTGCTGGTCTTTTAAAGACCGCGTTAGCAATTTGCCATTACCAAAAAAACTTATGAAAATGCAGATAAAGGGAATTTTATTTCCAAACATTGAGAAAATTATTGTTGATGGTAGATTACTGTTTTCTCCTTAAAAAAAAAAAACTTTGCAAAACAACAGCAATTGAGTAGATTGTTTTTCTCTTGGAGAATACACAAGTCTTCCCTTGTGAGTTTTTAAAAAAAAAAAATTGTTTGCTAATGTAGTCTTCAGTCTTGGCCAAAAGTCTTTATTATTTAATTTTACAGATTTATAACTTGTGATTGGCAATTTCAGCTGAAACTTCTCAAACTTTTCTGTTCACTGATATTTGAACATTCACCAGGAATATGGCATGAAATTAAACCTCTGTACTCTCCCAGGTTCAGTAAAAAATTAGTTGGGGTAAAAAAAAAGATTTTAATTGGACATTGGCATTCAGAATCTAGGGAGTTCTTTTTGATGGAATTTTCCTTTTGGAATTTAAAACTATAGTGTTAACCACTGGAGATAATTTTTCTGGACTAAGAGATTTAAACTTAACCCATTATGTGCCGTTGTACTGTATGAAGAACAACTATAGTGACATTGAATGATATATATACACCATTTGAAATAAATATTAAGTCATTGGAAGATTTACAGAATTGGAAACTTGAGGCTTAAAACCTTATTCATAAAATAACACACTTGTTTTTCTTGCTTTCTGAAACTCAGATCTGATTAGTTGAAAGTTTAGTTTCTTTGCAAAGTAGGTTTATTGTCTTATTCCATTTGGTTGTTTCTGCATAGTAGCATAATGAAATCAACTATGTAACTTCCACTTAGCAAAATTTAAAAATTCTTTTTTTCCCCCCCACAGTACCGAAAATTACTTACATGTAACTTACTCCCTATAGTGTCACTGGAATTTATAGTTTTGTTTATTCCGTTAATATCACATATAGCTACATAAGCTTATTTTAGGTGTCCTAACCTGTGACATGGGCTTGCAAACATCTTTCTTCGTGTACTGTATAACTTCTGGTATAACTTCTGGTAGATTCTTATTTCCTGGAACTCATATCTGAATTTAAGAATGTACTGGATGTTAGTAAATCTAAAGAAAAAAACAAAATTTTTTCCATATTCATGGGCGGACCCAATTTTACAGTTGTAGTAATTAAAATTATTTATTTAGCACTTAAGTGCAACAGTGTAGCTGAAAGATACCTTTAGAATCTGGCTGGAATGTGAATCCCAGCTTTGCCATGGCTGTCATGTGCCTACCTGCAAGAATTTTGTGACCTGGCCTAGGGGAAATTTCTTAATCTCCTTGAGTCTCAGCCTCCTTATCTTTAAAGTTAGAATAATGCCACACTTACAGGGTTTCGAGATAAATGTAAAGTTCCTCAAGGAGTTCAACTCGTCACTAGGTAACTGTTTTATCCTAAAAGTTTTTATTTTAACTTTCCACCTGGGGGACCTTGGCAGGTTTCTTCTGCAGGCTTCAGCTTTCCTTAGTGATAACCATACAATAATAGGCATTTTAAAGTCGTTTATTATGGTGTTAGCACTGCATTTAATAGACTTCAGCCAATCCAAAGATGAGTAAATGTCTCTCTATCCCCAAGAAATTCTTGGGAGCACAGTGAACAACAAGAATGCCTGTCGGGAGAAAGCATTGAAAAAGACATCCACTGTTAGTGAAGCGGTATTAGTCCTTCTAACACAGAAGTCATAGCCTCATGATTGAGAACAGACAGTGCAACAAGATGTCCTGCATTCTCTCGGCCATCACCCAGTTGTTACCCTTTTTGTTTTTTCTATTTTATCCATACCCTCCCCCCACTTTTTATACCGGTGATACATACTATAACATCATGTTTTTTTCCTTCCCTTCCACCTAATGTAGTTTAGCAGTTGGTTAATATCAGCCCATGAATAGTTTCTTTGTGTGTTTATCGTTGTGTGTAGATGCACTTGTATCTCTCAACCAGTTAGTGAACTCATTTCAACTTTTAGGTGGTGGTTATTATTTTTGAAAACACTGATTTACAGAGAGAGGGAGAGACAGAAAGATCTTCCATCCACCAGGTCATTCCCCAGGTGGCTTCAGTGGCCAAAACTGCACCAATCCAAAGCCAGACTTCTTCCGGGTCTGTCATGTAGGTGCAGGGTCCCTAGGCTCTGGGCTGTGCTCTGCTGCTTTCCAGAGCCCATATGAGATCCTGGTGCTTGGAGGTAGAACATTTAACCAGTTAAGCTAACTTGCCCAGCACATATTTTTAGATCTTGTATGATCTTTTAAACTAAAGAAATTTGCCATAGTGCCACATTTCTTTAGATGAAAACATATGAGTGAAAGGTTTTTTTTTTTTCATAGGAAGCTGTCGTTTAAACTGCCTTATGTCCTTTCTATTGTCATATTTGACAAGTCTTACTAAAATAATGATATATTAGGGATTTTCAAAAAAAAGTCATGGAACAATGAAGGATTTAAAAGTTATTTGTATCATGAAGTTTTTAAAGTGTTTTCTTACATGAGGAAGAAGACCAATCACCCTTAACATATGGTGAATTTAGTCTGCTACAGTTCTTGCAGTCGGGTCCAGCATAGTGGCCTAGTGACTTAATCTTCGCCTTGCATGCACTAGAATCCCATATGGGCACCAGCTCTAATCCCGGCTGCTCCACTTCCCATCCAGCTCCCTGCTTGTGGCCTGGGAAAGCAGTAGAGGATGGCCGAAGCCTTTGGACCCACACCTGCATGGGAGACCCAAAGGAAGAGCTTCCGATCTGTTCAGCTCCAGCCTTTATGACCACTTGAGGAGTCAATCAGCAGATGAAACATCTCTGTAAACCTGACTTTCCAATAAAAATTAATAAATCTTTAAAAATAAAAATGCTTGCAGTGTTAATATTGCAGGTGGCAACTTAGCTTAGTATCTTGCAGTGCCAGCCCTCTTAGAGTCTTGAAGAGGCTGTTGCCTTCAATGATTATTTTGGCCAGTAAAAAGTTTCTGTAGTTTTCTATCAGAACATTACCTATAATCCAGTCTGTGTTTAGAGCAGGTGACTCATGGAGCATTATTACCTAATATGGCTGAATAATAAAAATATACTACCTCTGCATCTATTTATTGGTTATGTACACTTTAACTTACCTTGATAGCTTTCCAAAATTTCTTAGTGTTAATTATTAATGGGTTTTATATTCTGCACCTAAACTGAAGATGTGGCTTCCCCTATGTGAGTCTACTAAGATTATAAACCTTACTGGTTAGATTTTTGTTTCTTTCTCAACTGTAGAAGTCCTTGATTAACCAGTTAGGCTAAATCACACAAGTTTCATTGCTTCTATTTCTGGGTTTTTTTGTTTTGTTTTTTAAGCTTTTCATAGCAACATTAGGCAATAGTATATATTAAATGTGTGTATTGGTGTATTTATCATTAAAGTACATGTGCTGTTTTTAATTTGATTAAATTCAGAAAGTGCACTTACAGTAACTAGACACAAATAAGTTATTCTTCCAAAGTCATCATGAAATAAAGCTGTCCTTGTGCGTTTCATTCTTTGTGTGTTGAGGTTATAGTGAAGGCCGCAAGAGCATATGTGAAGTTGGTCATGTGAGGACATTTTGCTGTTATTTTGAAGTTTTACTAGTATTTGATTTTTAAAAAAAGTTAATGTGCTATTTTTGCTAACTGATTAAAACGTCTACAGAGTGTTTTAGAGCTTTAGGGGGAGAAGATAGTGTAGATAATTAATCTGTAAAGCCAGGAATTTTTCCTTCCAGAACATATTTTTATTTTACTGGAAAGCTCAGTGACTTTTTGTGTTCTGCTGTTTTAATATATACATAAGCACTTCACAGGATCATGCAAAATACACATTATGAAAATATACATTCAGTGTCAAAAATTTTGGCACTAAATCAAGTTTCAGTTCCATTTTTCCAAAATCTTTATGAAGTACTTTTTCTGAATCAGTTAGGAAACTTACTTTCAGATATATATAGTTTTAAGCTTATTCCGTATTCTCATACCTACATGTAGGTTTTTATGAAACTTGCATGAGTGTAAGCTGTTAGGTTTTCTCTTCATTCATATTTCATTTCTCCTCTTGAAACAACTATGTGGCTGTCTCAGCTCTTTACCTGTTATTCTGAGGTTTCTGTTTTGAATTTTTCTCCTGCCTTAAGCTCTGCTAGACAAGACCTCATGAAGATATTTTATATTTTGTACAGATTTCTACTCATCTATGTGTTTATCAATTTTTGAAACTAGTTATAAAAATCTCAACTTAAAAAAATGCAGCCCTCAATAAAATTTTAAATGCCTAAGTTCCTTCTCTTTGGGGTTGAGGTAAGGTTGCAAAGTTTATCATAAACCCACTTTGCCGACAGATTAAAAAAAAAAAAAGAAGAAGTGTTGATTTTGATTTTTTATTTTCTTCCTGCTATTAGACTACTGTAAAATCTTTAAATAACCTAAAAAGAGACAAGACTTGGAGAAGAAAAGATCTGAGGATCAATGCTGAGGGTTTTTTTTTCTGAAAGGACAAAAGACCACTGTTGTTTAGAGTAATCAGTTAAGATAGTCAAGAAAGAACCTCACTGTTCAAAGTGGAGGAAAAATATGCCCGTAGTGACAGGAGGTGTCCTCAAAGATGAGTGAATTTTCTCTGAAGCTAAGATTTAATTTTTTGTTATTAGAGGGGGTTTGTTTTGTGTTTTTTTGTTTTGTTTTGTTTTTAATGATTTGTTCATTTTTATTGAAGGGCAGATTTACAGAGAGAAGGAGAGATGCATAGACCTGTTGATTCACTCTCCAGGTGGCTGCGGCAGCCAGGGATGGACCAGGTCAAAACGAGGAGATTCATCCTGGTCTCTGTCGTGGGTGGCAGGGGCCCAAACACTTGGGGCGTTTTCCACTGCCCTCCCTGCCACTAACACGGA